ACAACGCCAAGGGAGATGCTCTGATCGGCGTGATGCCTCGGCTTCCTGATGGGTTTGACGAGGTTGTGGTTGGCGGTGTTCCGGAGCCGGACGCATCCGGAAAGTGCGTTGTGGGGAAGGGTGGCCCTGGGGATGTGGCGGTTGCTGGGGACAAGGTCGTGATTGGAGGTGATGTTGTGGACGCAGACAAGGGCGAGGGGGCGGACTGCTTGGATGATGGTTTGAAGGGTCTGAGTATTAGAGAGAAAGGGAAAAGGAACAGTGAAAAAGAAGATGAAGATGAAAAGCCTATTTTGGTGGAGGGTTTTGTGTAAAATCCTCTATCTTTACTTCTTGTTCCATGGAATGCAATCTCCTGTTAGAAAAATGTACTATTTCTTTTCCATGTTTGTGGAACCTGAGTTTCTAGATTGATTGATACTATCCCAAGATCAACAGTGGCAGACAAAAAATGTTGTGTGTTAATTCATGGTATCTTTCAGACAAAAAAATGATGTATGAAACGCTACTCTCCAAGTCTCTAATATTGATTCTGTCCCAAATCTCATGATCAGATCCTCAAAAATGGCAGACATTTATCAAGTTTCGAATCATGATGTTGAAGATTAAGTTTGATATGTATAAATCTGCTTCTTTTGCAAGTTTAATGCATCTTCTTTATACTCAATTTTTAGACTCCCTCCACTAGTTATGTTCCATGATTTCTTAACATAACCACGAACAATCTAGCACTGGTTGAACATTTTTAATGGGAATGAAATTACATAGAATGAGCGAAGTAACTAAGCTTAAGAATAACAGAACTTTCTAACTTTTAAGTCCTTACCTGAATTTATAGTCAAGATCAGGAACTCAATATTGTGAATAGCTAAGCAGTTAAAATTTATGTATTCAACACCATGTCAACCTTAAAGAAACTAAAAACTCAGATAAAATTCAGTCAATCTGATTGTTGAATTGTTGTAACCTAAAATTAAGTCCTAATTGACATACCTCTGTTAGGAAGAAGGAAAAGGGACAAAGATTGACAGAGGGAACGGAATGGAAAAATGACTTAGAATCAGAGGATAACTGGGGAGAAATTTTGTGTCTGAGCTGCCCCAACACAAACAAGTGTTGGGTTATTCGCGGAAGAAGATGAAGATCGTAATCATGATGAAAATCCCACAGACAATCATCATCTTTACCAACAAAAGCCAAGTAAAAGAAATCAGAAAAATTGCTTAAGATTAGAAAAAACAAGCAAACAAAATAAACCAAGAATTTGCCAGATCTAACCCAGAACAGAGCAAGAGTGCAGCACCATACCATTTTCATACAGGATTGAGCCAGTAAGTAGGTCTCCTACCCATTGTTGTTACTTATGGAGCTTACTAATGTCTGGACAAAAGTTTTTTCCTTCCAAAAATTTATCAGACAGTGCAATTCAAATATGAGGCTTCAAACTAATCAGCAAACAAGTTACTAAACCAAGAATATATACAACACGTAAAATTCACATATGTACAACATTAGTCTGAACAGAAGAACAACAATACTAATATAAGGATATTAAATGAGTTCCACAATATCACCTACAACTTATTATCGTAGACTAATCACTGTCGGGCTCATATTCATCCTCATCTTCTTCTGATATCTCCTCTCCGTCAAGATCATCCTCTGCTTCCTCCACAATGGCTTCTGATGTCTCTGTTCCATCAACGTCATCAGCATCAACTTCTTGCAGTCCTCCATCTGATAACTGTAGTGGCTCATAGGATGTCAAGTCAAGGGTCAATTGAATTGGCTGTGGCATGGGAGGATCATCATCCTGATAAAAACCTTGAGCTTCTGGGACACCATCCTCAGGAATGGAGGACAAGTCATTAATGTTTCCGGCTTTGACGTTGCATGCAACCCACCAACCTTTTCTCTCACCTTGCTTTGATGGATAAAGAGTGTAACATACTTGTTGAGCCTGACTAGCCAACACAAAAGGCTCATTAGTTTTGACTATTGAGTTAGGGTCAATATCCACCAAGTGGTGTTTTGGATGCACCCTAACTCCTCTCCTAATATCATACCAATCGCACTTAAATAGAACTATGGTATTATGCTGCCCACCACCACGGTACTCAAGCTCAATCACTTCTTGTAACATCCCATAAAAGACTTGCTCATAACCCTTAAAAGTAGTTATGTTGACACAAGCACCACTGTTCATCATTCCCTTGCCTTGTCCGCACTCCTCTGTGTGGAATTTGAAACCATTGACAATGTATCCTTTATAGGTCTTCACACACCATGTTGGGCCACTGGCCAAGTTCCTGATGTGCTCATCAACCTCATATAACCCACTAAAAACCTAGATAAAAACATGGAAAAGTTCAGTATGTGTAATATTCAAATTAAGATATGAGGTACTGGTACAATGAATATATATAACTACAATAAAACTCACCACTGATCTAAACCACCCAACAAACTCCTTAATACGTTTTTCCTGTAGTTGCTCCGGGCTTAGGTTCTGGCCAATTTCTTCATCAAACAAACTGCATAATCCAGATATAGTGTCTCTGTTACAACAAAACTGATGCGAAGACTTTATAATAAGATTACTCAATAATGTAAAGTCACTCACTCTAAAAAGCCTGCAACTTCAACACAGTTGAGTAAAACATAAAAGTTCAGCTGCCTTGTACTCTTTCTCAGACAGTGAACGAGAGTTTTGTTCTGACCCAAGTGGTTGACCTGAACAACTAAAGATTGAAAGTTGACCCTTCAGATTAAGGCACCCTACATCATTGTTACTTGAAACCTGATTCAATTTTGTACCAACACCAGGCTCAAAATAATATGAGTAAAAATGTCTGATCTCTGACACGATGTATGCCTCACATATTGAAGTTTCAATAGCTGCCCGATTTCGCAATTCATGAAAAATATGTGCTCGATTTCGTATCATCTTCTTCAAATCATGCATCCGTCTAATTAAAACCAAAGAAAAGATTAATGATTTCTAGTTTATATTATAAATCTAGATTATTAAAAATCAACAAAAGGCATTGTATTCAGCTTCTAAATGGATATGTCCAACGGAATTGGATAGGTCCTCCAACTTTAGCTTCATAAGGCAAGTGAATTGCTAAGTGCACGGTGGAATCAAAGAATCTTGGAGGAAAGATCATTTCAAGCTTGCAAATTGTCTCCACAATCTTAGCTTCAAGTGTCTCCAAATCACCGCTGTAGGGTGTAGGAGCACATATGATTCGAAAGAAGTTACTGACCTCAGTCAATGCATCCCAAACCATGTCTGGTAATAAATCACGAAATGCAATTAGTAAGAGTCTTTGCATGAACACATGACAGTCAAGAGTTTTCATCCCAACCAACTTGCAATCTGTCAACTTAACACATTGGGATATGTTTGAGCTGTATCCGTCAGGAAACCTCAATTCCTTTAGCCACTCGCAGATGTCTTTCCTTTGCTCCTTACTTAGAACATAAATAGCTTTGGGCTTCATAAGCTTTCCTTCAACCTCTTGCAAATGCAATTGGGGACGCCTACAATACAAAGCCAAGTCCATCCTTGCTTTTGCATTGTCCTCGGTCCTTGTGGGATTATCCATCGTTGTATTTTGTATATTATCCCAAAAGTTCCTCTCACAATACATTACATCTAAGTTGTGACGGATGAGATTTGTGTGCCAATAAGGAAGCTCCCAAAATATGCTCTTTTTTATCCAGTTATGTGATTGACCGAATCCATCTACATTCTGCTTATGCTTTGGCCGTCCAAATTGGATATTGGGGAGTTGCTCAACCCTCCTTAACGTCTCAGAACCTGACAATCTATGCGGTGGTGGGTCATTCTCAACTTTGTTTTTCTTGAAATCATTTCTATTTCTTCTAAATGGATGGTTGGAGGGCAAGAAATGATGATGGCAATCAAAAAATGATGTCTTACCATCGTGCTTGAGTTGGAAAGATTTAGTATACTCCATGCAATATGGGCAGGCCAACCTTCCATGCATACTCCATGCATACTCCATCCGGACAACATATCATATGCACGAAAATCACTGATTGTCCATAATAGTGTTGCCCTCATTTGAAAGTTTTGTTGCCTAAAATTGTCATAAGTTTGCACCCCAAAAGACCATAACTCTTTCAACTCATCAATTAATGGCTGGAGTAAGACATCAATGCTTTCTTCAGGACTCTTTGGCCCTGGAATGATAAGAGTTAGGAAGATGTGCTCTTGACTCATGCACATTGAAGGTGGTAGGTTGTACACTGTAGCAAAAACTGGCCAACATGAATAAGGTACTGGGGGGCCACAGAAAGGATTGAATCTATCCATGCACAACCCAAGCCTCACATTACGAGGTTCCATGGCAAAATTGGGGTGAGTGAGGTCAAAGTGCTTCCAGGCCTCACCACCTGCAGGGTGAACAATTTTTTCAGAACCCTGTTGACACTTCAAATGCCATGTCATGTGCTCCGCTGTTTTCCTTGACATGTATAGCCTCTGAAGTCTCGGCGTAAGTGGAAGGTACCACATTGACTTTTGAGGTATATCCTTATCCTTGGAGTTTTTCTTCTTATACCGAGGTTCGTCACAAACAGGGCACACGGTCAGATTTCTATTCTCCTTATAATAGAGAACGCAGTTGTTAACACAGACATCAAACCTCTTGAAACCCAGTCCTAGCTTCTTCAACATTTTCTTTGTACTGGAGTAGTCCTTAGGAAACTTATCTTGAACTTCTGGACTTAATAGCCTTCTACTGCACGATAAAAAGTAGTTCCAACAGGACACACTCATGTTATGAATTACCTTTCCATTGAGGGAATCTGCCAACCATGTCAATAGTGTATCATCCTTGCATCCATCATAAAGAGGGGTTTCAACAGCTCGCAAATTTGAGTAAAAGTCTCTTGCTTCATTGTTTGGCTCCTCGATAATGGGCTCTACTTCAGCTGTCCCCTTATTGCCTGGACCAGATTCGATGGTCTTGCCTCTCATTCTGGTCTTTTGATATAAACCCACTGCACCAACCACAATGACTTTTTGTGGGGGCTCAGGTTCATCTCTGGCTTCACTGTTCGGCTCTTGTGGTGCCTCAGTTTCATCTCTTACTTCACTGCTTGGCTCCTCAATGATGGGCACTGCTTCACCTGTCCCTTTATTGTTTGGACCAAATTTGATGGTTTTGTCTCTCATTCTAGTCACTTGATATGGACCCACCTCAACCACCTTGGCTTTTTTTGGAGGCTCAGGTAGGGTCATTTTTGGTGGCTCAAGTAGGACCATTTTTGGTAGCTCAGGTATGGCTTTTTTTGGTGGCTCAGGTATGGCTATTTTTGGTGCCTCAGGGATGGCATTTTTCAGTGCCTCAGGTGTGGCATTTTTCGGCGCCTCAGGTTTATTTTTAACTCCAACAGAACTTGAAGCATCCCCCCATGGACATGCCCTTTTTCTAAAGGTTTCGCCAAAGGTTTGGCCATGTAAATACCAATCAATGTATCCAGTTACGAATCCATTTTTCAGAAGATGAGATCTGACATTGTCACGGGTTTCCCAATCCCAGTGCCTATTAGTGCATTTGACACATGGGCACCTAATCGCACCCTTACTGCTGCAAAACTGTAGGCCTTGGGAGCATGCAAAATCTAAGAATTTTTCTACACCCACTTTAAATTCCTCTGTAACGTATTTCTTCCTCTTAGTATCTGATGGATGGTACATCCAACTCCGGTCATCCTCCATTGTCACCTGATATCTGCAAAATTTCCAACCATTTCAAAGTTAATTAATGACTACTATTATGTACCTAATTTCTAAAACAATAGCAAATGCAAATCCTTTTACATTTTATTTTCCACTAGATATCATTAACCTTTGACAAAGAACCTTGTATATATTCTCAACCTATCCTTCAACCAAATCAACAGAAAATCACTTGCTACCACTCAGGTTGCAACCATCTAAAATATCAAGCCTAGATCAGGCCATCAAGGCGAGTGTAAAATTCAAGCTTACAGAGGTTCAAATGACAAAATAGGAAACATATTGAGACCATTTGAGAACGGAAAGTCAAGAACAACAGTACATATTCAATACCCATTTTCACTTTGGCCACGACCATCACTGTTCAGAAGAAAAAGAAAGAAGACTAATATTAAGCGGAGAACAAAGGCTACATTGGACTTACCTCTTTTAGGCATCAGATTCTGAAAGTGAAACCCTCATCTCTGCTTCAAATTCTCAACCATGAACAAAGATGGCAAAGATATTATTCGCTTAAACAGAAATGGAAGAAAGAATTGGACAAAAAAGGAGAAATGAAAGAAAACAAGTAACAAAAAGCAACACTTACTAACCATGAACGGCGACCATGGTGCAGGTGAAGCCGGGGTACGTCAAGCAGGTGGTTAGAGAGATAACGTTCGCAACGGGCCGAAGGTTGAAATCTTCTATCCCGAGCTCCGCTTGGGTTTAAGCGTTCAGCTAAACCGGAGCGTTTTAGTCCGCGTATCTCCGGCCGCTTTGCCGTCGCAAATACGAACCTCGGGATTTCCGTCCTCCATTAGCATGCAGACTGCAGGGTGCGTTACTCCCCACTACAAAACATGATAAGCATAGAACTTTATAATTAATGTGAATTAGTGAGGGAGGGAGATAGCAAAATTAAAAATACTTTAATTAAATAGGGTAGTTAATTTAGTTAAAGTAACATATACT